TGTAAAGATAAGCTTCCAATTTGTTTTCGAAACGACTAAGAAAGTTTTTCCATCATAAAAATGCTGTCAACCGACTTATACTGCGTAAAACAACGGCGGGGCAAGCTATGACGCAGCAAGTTTAGCAAATCGAAAAAGTTGGTTTTTCACCGCGGAGCTTTGCAGAAGGAAAGGTTAATGATCGCTAACGATCCGCACTGACAATCAGGTTGCCACTTAATGATCTCGCATCAATGCTTTAGTTTGATTAGGAAGGGAAACATCCTGAATCGTCCGCAACCAAAACAAACTTTCTTGTAAAGTTTCATTTTCGAAAATTTCGGCATTTTTACGTCCGTGTTAACTTCAATCGTATGTTTGGAATGCTCAGTGAAGTGCATGTGGATAGGAAATTCTTGTTGATTTTATTGAGCGGTCAATTCTTTGTTGCAATGATGGGGGATGGCGGGATGGCGGGGCCCGTACCCCCACTCGTACAGGAATTGGTTAGCTTAATTTTTCGTTTTCTGTGTGATTTTCATTTAAATCCAACGCTCCTTTGAAAAAAATCGGGAAGAAGTTTTTCGAGGGTTTGACATTTATTTTTTCGATTTCACCAAGTAAACAAAGATGGCAAAACGAAGGGACACGTGATGTAAAAAGTAGTGGTACAGCTAAATTCGAACATGATAAGCATGAGCGTCTAGTTCAAACAATGAGATCGCATTCTTAGTACTTATAACGATCAAACTTTCGACCAATCACGGTCGAGCCAGAGCCCCAACACAAAGGATTCGTACAGTGGTGTACTGTACATTACAGTACAGGGCAAAATCATGACAATCATAACTTTTGCTCGTACGGTCTCGAGTTTTGGGGAGAAAGGTGTCGCATTCGAACGGTTTTGATTCCCAAAACTTCGAATCGAAACTTCCATCCAGAAGGGAGAAGCGAGCCGTGACGCAGCACCGTTTTCGTGCCAAAAAAATCGACGGTGATTAGCAGAGCCTTGGCAGAGCAACTCTGCGGAGATAATTGCCCTCCGCACAAAGAGGTGGCGGTTAACGACCTCGCTGACAAAGCCTAACACGCTTAACGACCCGATGTAACCTTTTCTCCGGAGAGGCAATCAGGTCCGCAAGCAAGGCAACTTCCGCCGAAAAAAAGTTTGTTTTGAGGATTTTCGACCAGGAAAACCAAGACAGAGGGAGAAAAGAAGCAAAATCCCAGACTCCCATCGACGGACGGGGTCGAGTGGAGAAAAGAGCGGGACGTTGGCGGGGCGCCTTTAAACCGATCTCACACGAACAGGGGCGAAGTAGCTGCGACCGTGATCACCGTTGCTTGCCCCTTATTTGCATAGTAGCATTTTAGTACATTGAGATCTTTTTCTCAATAACGCCACCCATGCTCCATCACTACGTCATGGTAGAAGTGCCTCTAGGTATTTGGCACTGCCTGTTCCAAGCCGTGCCATACAGATCTATGTGAGGCATAGGAATGTCCTAAAAAGATCAGAATAGAGACGGGATGGTGCAGTGAAATCCTTGACTGCCAAGAGAATGAGAAAATAACGATTTGTGGTAGGAAGATTGGTGTTTAATGATCAATTCAAGCTATCAGCTTTAAGGAAGGCAAATACCACACACATCTGTTTGGCTTGGTTGTGCCAACAAATTTTTTCCTTTATTACGATCTTGCTTAATCAACCTCCAGTTGCAAGACTCGACCAGGCCATTTCGCGGCGCATTCATCGAAGCATCTGCAATGAGTTACTACGCTAAGCATAAATAGATTCGCCCTGTTCTATATACCAAGCCCCTGTATCTATGTAGTTATCTGATATAGTTTATTACTATGTTATGTTTTGTTATATTATATTATATTATATTATATTATATTATATTATATTATATTATATCATATTATATTGCTATGTCATTTATTATTATATTGTATTGTAACATATGATATTTTATTATAAAAAATTATAGTATATTAAACAAATTATAGTATATTGTACTTAATTATACCATATTTACCATATCACTGATGTTTTCCCAAGTTTTTAGTCAAGTAGTTTTAAGAAGACTTTTAAAAAGTTACGGGGCTTACCTTCAACACTTTAGCACATTAACCAGTTTAGTTTGGCAATATTACAGATGCTGCGTCGGCTTGTTTTTGTGGTAAATTGCCTGTATCCTATGAAATGGCTAAGGTTTTAATAGACTTGAAATTTAACATAATAAAAAAATGAAATTATTGATTTCTCTTGTATTTGAAATTTTAGCTTGAAATTTACTGCGTCCTTCAGTTGAATGTCAGGAGACACAATGAAAGATCACATGATCTAACAGAGGAAAGCAGTTGATTTCATGAACTTTGGGATTTCTTAAAAAACGATGTCCAAGGGCGAAATAGCAACGGTATCGCTTTTCAAGAAATCCCAAAGTTCATCTTCTCCTAGACTAAACATTTGAATTCTGAAATCAACTGCTTTCCTCTGTTAGATCATGTGATCTTTCCCAGCATTCATAGCACGTACATACGCGACAGCTGGCTCTATTTAATAAAAAAATTACGCGAGACAGTAAACGTTTGTCTTTGAAATTCAAAACCCACGTTACATGAAACACTGCTTTAGTAAAATCTGAAATATTTTGACCACGACAGTTGGCTGACATCGTGGCCCTTAGTGTTGCAATCACAATTAATTTTCGACCATATCAGCCTAATTCAGCAATATGATTTTCCTCTATTAGTTTCTGTTTCAAAGTTTTCTGCTTTTGTTTTTACAAAATTAAGTCTAATGGGCAAAGGAGTCATGGAAACAAAGGAGCGTATGGGTGACTGTATCCATTCATCGCTACCCTTTTTGAGAAGGTGGAGGGTCATGACCTCTGTGGGTCTTTGACCTTAGAAACTGCGACAGCAGAGATGACGCCGTTAAATTTCTTTTGTGCAGACGATTATTCATTCGCGACTGTCCTTTTGGTCTAACTGAGTCTATAAAAAGCAAAGTTTGTGCAAGACCAACAGCTGCATCCAATGTTACTAATTCACGAAGGCTTCCCACAAATGTAACAAGTAGCTTGAACGTTGAATACTTTAAAACGTGCACAATTTGCATTTAATTCTTTGATCGACAATAAATTACAATAAAATTCCCAAACAAAACTGGCACAACTGTGAACATATTACAAAGCCTATCAAACAGAGATTCTACGGACCTAAATATCTTATTTTCAACTATAAATGAATGATTGACATTATATTTTGGAGTTTAATTTGGGGTTTAGTATTATTGCTCTTGCAAAGGCCTAAAGATCAAACCATTTTACTGACTTATACTCGGCCTTAAATAAAATGCAAAAGTATGGCCTTATTATTAAACTGGTTTATAATTTTCATTTCGAAGTCTTAAGGGGGTGGGGGGGAGGGCCACATGAACAGCTACGCGTTTTTTTATAAGAACACTTCCCTCCAGTTCCAGCCTGGAGTTTCCTATTTTTTTTCCGTAAAATTTCAGCCTAACGTGTTTCTTATTTTTTCTCTTATTTTTGTAATAGAATTTCCTGTGGATAGCAGTGTCTCGACATTACCTGTGCTTGATAAAGTAAATAATGCTATTTTGCTTATCGCTTTCTGTTTTTCATTTGCTATTTGTTCATTTTTTCCATTTTTGCTGGTATGTTATTTTTTTAATTTTGTTGAATTTCAGCCTGCCTTGTTTCCTGTGTTCTTCTTATTTTTTGGGCAAATCTCATCCTGATATTTCTTATAAGGGTTCTTATTATAAAAAAACGTGTACTATCATTGCTTCCGAATGTAAGCTGGAAATGGGGCATGATCTTTCTAGCCTCACTTAGTAGGAAAGCTAGTGGACAAAGTAGAACGTAAATTTTGAAATGCGGATATAAAACTACAGTCACTTATTACAGAAAGCTGCAGAAAAGATGAAGGCCCCAGGCACTTCTTGTAGCACTTGTTTTCTGGCAGCTTTTTTGTGATCATGTGGGAGGTGAATATCATAAGCTGATTAAGTGTAGCAAATGAAACTTAGAGCTTTTAATAAATCTTGAGATCGCGTCTGCAATGTGATTCTGTATCATCCTCTATATAAAACATACAAGTGAAACTTGAATTACAGATTAGAACAAAGCCTGTCATTTTTGAATTCTGCAAAATCCAATGAAAGTAAACTAAAGAGTCATTTTGGATTAACGAAAGCAGCCAGACGAATCTTCAATGCGAGAAAGAATTAGCAAATCTTAAAGAACATTAAGACCGGAGACAATTAATTCACCTGGATTTGTGAAGTGATTTCCTCTGGCCAAAGATCAAATTTGTTCTTACAGGCAAGTATGTTAGTGTGTGATAAGCTAGTTTATTAGGAACTTTACAACCTTGCTAAATAATTCATGTTTTCTCGCAATCTGATCGTATTTGCTTTCCATGGCAAACATTGTTGAACTGAATCCATTACTGGTTGCCATTAAAGGACGGGGACAAGAGGCAAAAAGTGTCATTTAATTTAGTTTCTCTCGCTTTTGTTACGATTGAATGTTCATTTAATGTATTTCACCTTCTAACTAATATCTCTGGTCAATGCCTAAACGGGTTTTACATAATTATTCAAACTTATGATAATTTACTATAATTTTTGTCACAATTGGCCGTTGCTTTTTGGTGGTTGAAATTTCAAAAAGTGAAGAAGTTCAGGAACACAGAAAGGGCAGAACGGTACCATTTCAGTTCATCAAAGACCTCTTGACGATCTCTATTCATGGTACTTCATGGGTGATTTTTTGCTCAGCGGGGTACAAAGAGAAATACATAACTTTCTGACATTTTATTCTGACTAAATTACCTGTATAGAGCGGTAGTGAAAATAAGAAATGAAGTTTATTTGCTTAGAAAAAGTTTATTTACATTTCGTGAAAGTGCTGCTTTGTGAGTTTTTAAATAAAAAAGTTGTTTTCATGAAAGAATTGATAAAAAATAATTTCTAAGCTCTTGAAATAAGACTTTTAAGAACGAGAAAGCTCTGAATCACATTAAAATGCCAATATCTAATTACCAAGAAGAACAGAAAAATGCACCATAACAGTGAACTCTAGAGTTTCAAATGAGTTTGAAAATACGCCATTATTGGGGAATCCCCCTGTAAAATTTGATATTCTGATTATAGTTTTGGCGAGGACATTGGCATCTACTTGCCCTGTGTTCTATGCAATGGAAGCCTTTGGGATGTTATCAAATTATGCTAACGTGGGTGGGGGGGGGGGAGGGGGGATAAAACTGGGTAAAAATTTCTATGAATGATGTTTGTGATAAAGATAGTAAAACAAACATTAAAGCTGAGATTAAGGATAAACTTGAGTTCACACGTATCGAAAATCTAGAAAGTCCTATAAGTACTGAGAAAGTACAGTATATATGTATATGCATTATTTAAAAGTACATCTAAATATGCATCTTAATAGAGAAATGTTATATTAGACTTTTAAAACACGAAGAAACTTTTCCAAATAGTGATTTTGCTCGCATAAATTACGGAAGATGTTGAAAAGGTCCATACACTGATGAAATAAAACACTGAGCCTTTTCAAAACAAATTTTCGGTCATTAGGTCGAGCATGAGTTTCACTTTACAAAGATATGTTCTATATGCCAAAGAAATAATGCAGGTTACTTCATTTACCAAGGAAAAATACCTCAATAAAGCAGACCTTATGTTGAAGATTAATTCATTCATTTGGTTAGTGAGTCAGGGCATTTTGACTAAATCACTGAGAGCCATTTCGCCTTACATATCTATATAAATTTATACATTGCAAGATAATTATTAAAATTGTGGCGACCCTCTGAATTATATTTATGAAATTAAATAACGACTTTGCACATTTGAAAGAACTGCATGTAAATGTCGGTCATATGCCTGTGTTTTTCTGATAGGCCTATTTCGATCCACAGCTGGGTATATATTTTTTATCATGTTCTTTCGGCTCCTTACGTTTTATAGTCCGAGGAGTGTCAGATTCAAAAGCTTTTAGTAGTATGTTGTGAAATATTTGTTTTTTTCAAAGCCATTTATATGTCAAATTGTACAAAACGATGAACTATATAGAGTACCTATGAAATAAAACGTTGAAACAGAAATAATTTCATACCTCGGTCAAACCTCCAAGTGAAACGACTGTTTTGTAAAGTTTGTACAAATCAAGAGGCTGTTTGGCCATGGTTGGGATTCTTGTAACGGTAGCATCTGTAAAATTAACTAATCAAAATTAATCAGCATAAGACTCTACCCTTATAAAAGTTGCAAGATGGAGAAATATATTTTACATTTTATTAAAACCAAACCAACAGGTTCTTGCACAATAAGTCTTGTAGAAAATGAGCCTAAATACTGCTCTTATGATCTTATTTCAGTCCAAGAATCTTATTTTAGTCCAAGGTTTAAATCGTTTCAGAGCTTTTCAAAATATATCAGTCTGCTTTATCTTCTTGAACCATCTTGAAATATATTCAGTAAGAAACTACATCACTAAATTTTTAAATATCTTTAACGCAAACTGCATTAAGGCCAAAGTTTTACTCTTTCGATGTGCATTTGGAAGCTCATCCTCCAACCCTTGTGGTCTTTCACATTTTCAGTACCATCTTCTGACATTAAACATTCTATTTCTCGCAAGACATTTTTTAATTTTTGCAATCTGCGTATCTTTCAAGTTCTATTTGGTAGGAACCTAATACCTGCAGTCTACCCTTGAAATGGAAGCTGTCTAGCTTTTTCGTTGCTTTTTTCGAAAAATTGCTTTTAATCTAAGAATCGAACTGACTAAAAGGAAAGTCAGTTGTAAGCTTGAACTGTCCATCGTTTTTAAAAGTCTCCTTGCCAAGGTAAAACGTTTTTTTAACATTTGTAAATCAAAATGATACTTGCTTTTATAAAACCGAGTGTTTAATTTCTGACTATTTACAAGTATCTCTTGTTCATGGAAATAGTTTGAGAATAGAAGTATACAAAACCTTTCAAACTATCTTAACAACACCTGTAGTGCAAATAAGCCCTTCTGATTACAGTGCAACACAAACAAATTAGAAAGGCAAGCTTAAGGATGTTCTCAAACACAAAACAATAAGTCTTTTATAACAACAGAGAACGCAGTTCTAGATGAAAAACTGATGACAACTGCCAAATACTGAAAAACTATCAAATTGTTACACGCACTGTTAATAAAAATATAGAAGCAAGAAAAATCGAGATTCACCAATTAAAATCTTGTCGAACATGGGTCGATGAAAGCATGCATAAATGAATCAGTCTGTGGTGATTTTCCCATGTCTACGTGGCAGGAACACCCCAAGCTTAAAAATCATTTGATTACGCAAAAGCACATGGTAGAATTTTGAAAAACGAATGCTGTGTGAGGGCTCTTTATTCTCGAGACAGTACTCAATATAGTCAGCTACCGACAATATTTGTTATTATGAAAGGTGATTTCGCGTCTGGAGATAACAATTTGCAAGAAAGTCGAATCAATTACAGTCCATGAATATCAAGGGTCCTTAATCTATTCATTTAGACCGTAATAAGTTCATCTTTTATGAATGATTATCCCACAAATGAAGTAGGGTTGTTAAAGTACTGAACGGTAATGTGCTACCTCACCTCTTTTACGCATGAAATCGAAATAATCGTCGAGAAATTCTTTGCGAGCAGGATCATCGTCAATGAAGTAAAGCTAAAAGAGAGAGATAAATCTGTATAAAAGTTCTCAAAGAATTTCTATAATCTATAGCTGCAAGTCACATAGAAAGGCGTGTGTAGATATTCTAGAGAAGGGGGCCAGAGATTGAAGTGAAAGGGAACAAGGGGCTTAACTTGGAACACAGCCAGCGCCCGATTTCAGAAACTGATGGGTCTGGTTGCCATTAAGACTGTACGATGGGATACAAAAGACAAGCACCAGAAGTTCTCCTGATTTTAAGCTTACTCAAAGTGACATTTTACCCAATTAAAAACGGGTATTTCAATACAAAAGGAGTCGTCTACAGTAAACGACTCACTGTGCTTATGCCCCTCCACAGCAAACGAATATATCGTGTAATCCAAAAAGTGCTCTCTATAAATGAGTGGAAGGGGAAAGGTAGGCTGGGAGCTTTTGATCATTTGACATACGAAATTACAAAAAAATGCATCTGTATTTGGCAAAGTACAGCTATAAAACTCGAGAAGACATTTAAGAAACATAAGAAACAATTATCATGCAAGGGTTTTTTCTTCATTATTCGAAAATGGACGCAAAATTTGGTGATACCAATGCACCTGATTAATATCTTTCATAAGAAAGAAAAAACAAATTCTCTAAAATACTAATTGAAATTGCAACAAGTGGAATTGTAAGGCTAGCAAATATGTGAGAGAAAATATGCAAGGATCATACATCATTCAACAATCATGTCCTTGCTTAAAGATATATTGCTTTGAAAAAATATTTCACTTTGTCAAGGCAAGTAGAATTCTTCCTATACTAGTAATGTTATTCTCACAAACCCCTTTTGGGGTCAGGAATATTGAAATTTTCCTCTATCAACCATCTCTCAACACTCCTTCCAATTAAAATCCCGGACAAAAATAGCTGAGACTTTTCAAGGTAAGTTGATAGCTTGACCCCCACCCCCCCCACCCATCATTGTTGAATACGTTATTTTGAAAGAGATATGATAGAACTACAAATCCAACATGATGGACAACGAATTTACCTGATTAGAAAATAATTACCTGAAATTCTATAGTTCTGGCACAAATCTCTGCAATACATTTTGTTAATCTAACTCAATTTCATGTAATTCACAACAAACATTTATATGATATGATTGTCCTTGGACCTTTTCGACCCTATAAAACTGTATATTAGGACGAGCAGAAGATAAAGATACTACTTTAGACAGCACCAAGGATGCCGCCGAATGAAAGGAAAGTCTTCTAAAGCCAGGAAAAAAGCAGGTCTAGATCCCTCTTCCAATCTTGGAATTTTTTTTGCATGTAAAAATATTTGGAGCTCATTTTACCTGAAATTGACACAAGGCACACTTTTACCTGAGGAAGGCCTGGTTTCTTGGATTAAGTGCCAACAAGAAATTTTGAAATCATTACTGCTTAGTTTTTTTTACCTTCATATCAAGGAAATATCAGATGTAACCAACGGAGCAACTTCCCTTGCATGATCCTTTATTGATTATAAGGTGTAAAGGTCTCTGAACTGCCTCAACCGTTTTTCCACTGAGTGGATTTGATCTGAAATTTCTTATTGAGATACTATTGGAGGGGGTGTGTGACCCACACCCCCCGGTTGTGACGCCCCTGCAACACAAGCCCCCGTGTTCAATGTAGGCGAAGTTTAAAGTGCAGTTCTTGTAGGGGTGGAGGTGGTGATGGTAGAGTCAGTCGAAGCAAAGAAGCAAAAATAATTTTTTCCAGCAATTAAACAATTTTCTCCCTCTAAATTTCTATTAAGCTAGAACATTTTCAATTATTTTGTTTTCCATCAAGATATCCTCTTCAAATGCCAGACATGCAAGATTGTACCCCCTCTCTATCGGCAAAGAACTTCTCTTAGGGGAATCTACCCTTGTTGATGCAGAAAACAAGCACTCTTCAGGGTCGTTATGTGTTGATGTGGAGCCAGCAGTAACAGGAGTAACAGTAACTGCATAAAAATTTATAAACATTTGAGAGTATCGGAGCGCTTTCTCTATGCAGTCGCTGAATCTATCTTCCTAAGCTCGCTTTCTGGCCACTTGACAGCACTTGGGAGAAGATTTTGCACACAGCTGTAAGAAAAAATGATAAGCTCCTCCAACATTTTCTCAAGAACAGGAAACTATTCGCTGCATATTTTTATAGAGGTACCAAGGTCTCTTACTATAGTGCTATTGGCTTAAGAATGCAATTTACAAAAATGAACATCCAGTTGGCCTCATCCCCTCTAACAGATACGGCCATCCTTTAGCCAATCTACGGGCTTCGCTTCTGTAACTTCTTTGATGATCTTGATTTTGAGGTAATTTCAAGTTCCTTCTTTACAATGTTCGATTATTCCGAAGTCTAACTCAAGAAATACGTTTTCTGGCATAACAACACACACATAACACCCCTACCTCTTAAACCTTTGCCTGGCTATATACTGTACCATAGTATATTGTCCAAAAAAGTGTTGTTCCTATGATATGTGATTTTACCTAGGTGCAGGTACGTTGTTGCAGGCAGTTGTTTCAGCAATTTTTTTGAGTAGTACCCAAGTAGCGCCAAGTTTTGGTTTGACAGCGAAATATTTTTTGAGCAATTTTCCTTCCACCAGTACTACCTCGACTCAAATTTTCACGGCAATCCAATGAAAACGAAGAAAAACCCTATTAAAAAATGTAGAGACAAAATTCTCGTGTTGGCAAACAGCTGGTGCTCTCTTGCTCCAGGGATGGGGGGATGCCACCCCTTAGCTACGGGCCTGCTGCAACACACCTCATTGAACAATATCCCTCTTCTTAAGCCATCTTGCTTTATCTACGACGGTGGAATATGACAAAGTCATCTCACGACTGTTGCGCTTTCCTAACACTCTCCTTATTTTGACTATCACTCCTGCCATATTTTCATAACTAAATAGGAGGGGGAGGGGGGGATCGACTATCTATTGAGAGAGTTCCTCCTCAAGAAATCAAGAAATTTTTATTTATTGATAGTACGTGACTTATTTCTGTTAAAATCTATCATGGAGAACTTTAAAATGAAAATCAAAACGAGAATAGGTTTTGTGAAAAGGACAGTACATGCATTCCCACCTTGAAAGCGATGTCGTGAAAGCGAAACGTGATTTTCCTAATAAGAACAGATCGTCGTCCGATTTTGGATTCGACAAGTTGTTTAACAATTAAAGACCAGTTTAAATGAAAGTTTTAACGTACTCTGAATAAAAGTTGCCATTAGTTAGAAGAAATATTTACAACATCGGGGCCCTTAGGAACCTTTCCCAAATTCCCCGGCTTAGGGTCAAAGACGACAATAATTTTCCAGGTGTTTAAAAATGACGATAAACCAGCTTTATCAAACTTTGCTATACTTGACTATAAGTTTTGAATATTGATTCAAAATCAACCTTGCGGCCATCGACTTAAAAACGACTCTCATGTTTGTTTGTAGAAAGAAACGTGCACGCAAAGTTCATCGATAAAGCCACACGGCAACGCAGAACTAATCATGATGATCTGCATGTCTCGGTTCGAGAAAGACTATTTACTTCTTTTCAGTTCCAATACCGTTAAACACTGGAAATATCAGTTTCTAACCACTTGTAATATCAGTGTCTACTGCAGCCAGACAAACGAGATACACAGAGCGCCAGTTATTTCTCCTCGTGAATAAACTAAACGTCACAAAACCATTCTTATTGGACTTGCCCTTTTACTAAGTGTGGGGAATTAGGACTTAGAAACTCGTTGTCTCCATTGATTATCATTTATCACTGTTATTCATAAAAACAACATTTATTTAGCGACTAACTATCATTACGTACGTTTTGTAGGAGTGGAGTCCTGTACATTCCGGGGGGGGGAGTTCGAACTTGAAAAAAGGGCAGAAGCCTCGCTATTGGAATTTGAGCCAAAGCATAGAGAGGGAACTTCGTAATAGTGGCAGCTAATTGGTCTGCTGGCCTTAAAAAGGGCCCCCCTTTGAGACCGTGGGCTCAAGGATCTTTCTAAGGTTTGCTCAAGTAAAAACCCATTGAAGCTGATAGGCAAATGACGATTATCTAGAAATTTGAAGGGCTACTTTCCCTCATTATTTATTTGATCATACTGTTGCGGTTTTCATTTACATGCAAAATTTATTGGCAAAAGCAACAACAGACAGCAGTTATGACAAATAACTCAGATAATAGCAGAATATTTAGTTGAAAAGCTTGGAATGGTTATGAAAAATAATTTTAATAAAGACAGAATAATTAGTGAAAAAGCTTCCTATGGAGCAAAAGACGATGTTACCTTAAAGTTAAAAAAACCATAAATGTTGCACTTGTAATTGTTTCGTTAAAGATTTGAATGTCAGAAGAATCATAGATATCTGATGCAAGCTCATATAATATGAACCAACTCACTCAAATTTCAGAGCCGGCGAAACTGGGGGGGGGGGCATGCCACCCCCCCCCCCAACTTTTCTGCAGAGCTAAAGAAACATTTTAGGCAAAAGTGGAAATAAATGTAGTATCTGATTCTGTAAGTAACTTTGCCTGGTATTCTCTTAAATGTGTCCTTAGCTTTACCTTGGTTGCTATGTCTTTACCATAGAAGACATACATAAAATTGAATATGGGAATTAGATTGAAGAAATTGGTCATTGTCTAAGTTTTACAACGAGTAACAGCTTGGCTTAGCAAATAGATGGAGAAACCTAGTCCAGAATAACTTGGTGCCAGCACAAATTGACGGAGTTTCGTTTTCTCCATTGCCTAAACTTGGCACACAAGGTCTATTTGTTAACGAAAACTTTCTCAGAAACATTACAAAAAGAGAAATCAGCTGTTGAAGAAAAAGAAACAGCTGGAAAGAAGTTTTTTGAGGATATGAGAAATAAAGTATGGGCAGATTTGTTTTTAAAAAGCATCATCAAGAAAATTTCAGAGATTGATCGTTTGGATATTCCATTCCTACTAAGAAAGAGAAAATATCGACGCAATTATAAATT